AACGAAATATTACAATTAAATTAGGTTATGCTAATGCTAAAGTAAATGAAAAAATATTCTTTTTTTTTATTTATATAAAATTTAATATATAGATATTCGAATGTGACAATGAGAAATGTCCTCGACCGGAACGTTTTCGTTCAGCTGGTTCAAGTAAAGAAGATGTATTTCCATGTGATCGAAATGGATGTGGTGGACAATTTCGACTTGTCCGACATGTTTCATTTGTTGATTGTCCTGGTCACGATATTCTGATGGCAACTATGTTGAACGGTGCCGCTGTTATGGATGCTGCTCTTTTACTTATCGGTAAAATTTATATTTTCTAAATTTCACATTTTTTTTTATACATTCATTTTTAGCTGCTAATGAAACTTGTCCACAACCACAAACATCTGAACATTTAGCAGCTATTGGTATAATGAAATTGAATTCAATATTGGTCTTACAAAATAAAATTGATCTTGTTAAAGAAGTTCAAGCAAAAGAACAATATCAACAAATTATTGATTTTGTTAAAGGTTCTTTATTAGATTTTTCTTAAGGATAAAATAGAAATGATCTTATTTTTGTTCTTCTAGGCACAAATGCTGAAGGTGCCCCAATTATTCCAATTAGTGCACAACTTAAATACAATATTGAAGTTATTTGCGAATATATTACACGAAAAATTCCAGTACCAATACGTGATTTCACATCAAAACCGAGATTGATCGGTAAGAAATAACGATTTGTTTTGTTTTGTTTTATTTAACTTTTTGTTAATAGTTATTCGTTCATTTGATGTGAACAAACCCGGTGCCGAAGTCGATGATCTGAAAGGTGGTGTAGCTGGTGGTAGTATTCTTAAAGGTGTTCTTAAAGTAAGAAATATTCTATTGATTGATGAATAGTGATTTAAATTGAATATATATATATATTAGGTTGGTCAAGAAATTGAAGTTCGACCTGGTATCGTTTCAAAAGATAATGAAGGTCGTCTTCAATGTCGTCCACTTTTATCAAAAATTGTTTCACTCTATGCCGAACAGAATGATCTTGCTTTTGCTGTGCCTGGTGGACTTATTGGTGTTGGTACAAAAATTGATCCAACTTTATGTCGTGCTGATCGTCTTGTTGGTCAAGTACTTGGTGAAGTTGGAGCATTGCCAGAAATCTACACTGAAATTCAAATAACTTATTTTCTTCTTCGACGTCTTGTTGGTGTAAGAACTGAAGGTGACAAGAAAGGTGCCAAGGTTTGTTATTAATTCTATAATAAATTTTCAATTTTTGAAATTTACTTTTTTTTGTTTAGGTTGCTAAATTAACTAAAAATGAAATGTTAATGGTTAATATTGGATCATTAAGTACTGGTGGTCGTGTATTAGCTATAAAAGACGAATTGGCTAAAATTCAATTGACTAATCCAGTTTGTACCGAAGTATCCGAAAAAATAGCCTTAAGTCGTCGTGTTGATAAAAACTTTCGTTTAATTGGTTGGGGTGAAATACGACGTGGAACAGTAATTAAACCACAAGTGGAAATACCTGCAACACGAACAGTTACTGGCAATTAAAAAAATATATAACATTCATTATTATTGTTTGTCTTTCGAATGGCTGTTGTTGTAGGCAATGGAATGTATAACGTTACGTTTTTTATTAAACAAACAAAAAAAAATAGAGCATTTGCTCGATAACATCGTTAATTAAATAAGAGCTTGTTTTGAAAATTAAAAATGATTTATAACATTTGATTGCATCATGTAAACATATAATTAAGCTAAAAGAATTAGACTTGAACTGCTAAACTGATTAGTCTTTTGTATAGTTGTCGACAAATAAAATAACATATGTTTATTTACCTCAGATGATCAAAAAGTCTTTTTTGAATATTAATAGTTTTGAATAGAATCAAATTTACTACAGAAATATGTGATGGTTCATTTTTTTCGAGCGGATATCACTTAAATATAGATACAGTAACAGTACAAGAGTTTTATTGAATATTTTCCTATCAAACAATGATGCTCAAAAGAATAGCTTTATATATCAAACTCTACAAACATATCGAACAAAAACAGAAAATCGTAAATTTTTTATCTTGTTGAATTACACTAGATTTGAGTAGATCATGATTAATTGCAGTACATTTATGTGTAATCATTTGTTGTTTAATACTATTATCTAACACATGGTAGTCTCTGCGTGACAAGTTTGCATCTATGATTTATAACATTTTTATTCTCTTTTTCTCCTGGGTTATTTATGAGCTGATAAACAGTTGAGAATATTTGAGGAAAAAAACACGTGAAGCATCGAAAAAAAACAACGTGTAGCACAAAAAAAAGAAAGTTCGATAAATAATGCCAACAAAAATTTATTAGTCATTTGTTATATAAATAGCACCAAGACGTTCTTCAAACTGATCACTGTCTGACGCGTTCTATATTTTTGAATTAACTTTCCAAAGAGTAAATGCACCGTTTCGGGTCTCACCGGTTAAATTACAATACAAATCATCCAATATTATCAGCATTTCATATAACTCTTCATCCTTTTCTTCAAGTTCTTTCATTTCCTTTATGCAATTGTTTAATTTTTCTTCATAGTACTGTTCATATTCGGCAGATCTTCTTTTTTCTTCGCGGTGGTGTTTAATAGATTTTTCTATTGCTTCGCTTTCTTTCATTATTTTATTTATAACTGTTAATAAACCGCTTCTTGTGATCTTAATCCGTTCAGCACAATCATTTAATACCCTTATATTTTCATCTCTTCCATTGACATCTATATCTCTATTGTACTTATTGATTGCTCGCCATAGACGCATAATTTCGTCTTTCAAATCTTCTACCGTTTGTGAAATATTATTTCCAACCACGAAAATAATCAACACAATATTTAATAAATGACCGAACATCTTTGGTGTTATTGAATCAAAAGTAGACTAGAATCGAATGTTACTCTAAACACAGAAAAGTCAGACAAATTGGTTATAAAGCAATAGCTACCAAAACTCCACCAGTTTTCTCCCTATTCAGAAAAAAACATTTGTAAATACCCCACTCGCAGGTAAAAATGGATCAGCATTTTACATAGGATCTTCAGAATAAGGGTGCTCGTATGGGTGACAGTTTGAGTAACACAACAAACTCTGGCTCATCTCTATCCCATCACCACCCTCGCTAACTTTAACCTCCTTAGAACAAAAAGAAATCTCATTAAAAAAATCAGTACTGTAACTGATAGTAACGCTGCTTCTATTCCATTTATATACAAAAGGGATGAAAGTGCTCGAAAGAAAAGAGACAAGAAGAAAACAAAAGTGAAATATACTCTTAAACAAAACGAAAGATGTTTTTGAATGATTTTATAATTGATGTGTTGCTATATATAAGCAAGCAGAAAGAGAATGTGGGTGGATATGACAACATGGGGGTAGTAGAAACATGAAAAAGAACATTGAAGAAGCATAAAGAATAAAGTATAATATCAAACAAAACGAAAGACGTCGGCTTGAGTGATGTTATACCTGATGCTGTTCTGTTGCTGCGAAGTAGACGCCTACCGCGTTAAACAGAAGAAAAAGAAAGAAATGCAAAGAAAAAGATAATCTTGAACAAATCGCGGTTGTTTCTTGCGACTAATTTATCGTTGGTTTTACTCTATGAATATATAAAATGAGTAACAGTTGAATTGGTACAATAAAGAAAGAGAAAAAAACTAAAATCTACTCTTAAAAACATATTTGTTTTTGTTACTAGCTCATGATTCATTCTACTCTGTGAATATATAAAATGAACGACAGTAGAATTGAGGGTGTAGATGTAAGTGTAAGTGTATCTTCTTCGCCGACACTCACACTTGCATCCTCAATAAAATGTACATTCGAATTCTTTTCATTAAATATATCTTAGTTAAATCATTCATTTATAAATTCTTTTTTAAATTCTACAGAGAATTTTAGTTTATTACGATATATTTAGTCATTCACAAATTAGATAAAAATACAAACAAAAGCATTGATATTGATGTCTCTTCGATAGAATAGACATCTTGGAAGTGAATGACCATATGACACACAAGTGACTAAGTGTCTACAAGAAATACATATAAGTCGTTTCTCTTCTGTCCAACAGAGAACACATAAGTTGGATGATGATGAACTATTTTCAGAATTTGCTTCCTCTTCTATTTTCTCGATCTAGTTACTTGATGGTGTTAATGTTTTCGATGTCGTAATAGCTGTGGTATTGAACTGATTTTCTGTGAATAATTCTTCGACAAAAGCCATAAATTATAGCAAATTAGACTGTCCATTCTTCAGAGTTTCTAAAATAGAAAAAAAATTTTAATCAATAGGATGTTTGGAGTAATAATAGTTTTTTTATTTCCTCTAATATGAATAATTGATTGTTAAAAAATAATACAAGCAATTAAAAGATCACTATCTGAAATAAAATCATTTTCTAAATAAATAAAAAAAATATGAATTTATTAGATTCAATCGCATCAATAATTCTTACGTTTCAGCCGTAGTTAATCTACCCAGCAATGTTTAATGACTGATAATTTACAATTTTGACTGAGCAAACGTTGAGATACTGACAAATCAAGACGAGCAGCAACTAATCGTGATAAATTTTTGTCATCTGATACTAAATATTTATATAAGTTCAACCAGCTGCAATCATAACAGCAGTGGAATGAAGAGAATAAAATTCAATACAGATATAAAATAGTTTACTTTGTTCGAGCTGATATAACTTAAATATAGGTACACTAAGAGTACAAGAGTTTTATTGAATGTTTTCCTATCAAACAGTGAGTCATAAAAGAATAATTTTTATTTATCAAACTCAACAAACATATCGAATAAAACAGGAAATGGTAAGTTTTTGATTTTGTTCAATCGCTCTGAATTTGAGTGGATCGTAATTAAATGAAGTACATTTATGTATACTCACTCGCTTTTGAATGCTGCTTCTGAACACATGATAGCCTTTAAGTTAGAAGTTTACAACTATAATTTACAATAATATTTATTTTCTTTTTTTCTGGAATATCAGAATTTCAATAAAATTATGGAAAAATATATACAAAAACAACGCAAAGCATTAAAAATAAAAATAAAGAAAGTTTAAAAAAAATGCTAACAAACGTTTCTTGGTGATTTGTTGTATCAACATCGTCAAGACGTTGTTCAAATTCATCACCATGCGACGCGTTAAAACTTTTTACAGCATCTTCACAACGATCAATTGCATCTTTTTCTTTCTTAACAAATTTACCCACTATTTTCAGCATTTCATTTAATTCTTCAACCTTCTTTTGAAGTTCTTCCATTTCCATTTCGCCATTTTTTAATTTTTTCTTATATTTCTGTACAAATTCGACACGTTTTGTTTTTTCTTTCGGAACCTGCTTCATCAATTTTTTCATTTCTTCGATTTTTTCGTTTGTAGATGCTTGTAACCCGCTTCTTATGAATGTAATCAATTCAATACAAGCATCTAATACCTTTGTATTTGTATTTCTTCGAGCAACATTCATGCCTCTTTCGCATTTATTTATTATTTTCCAGAGAGCCGTGATTTCAACTTGAACATCTTCACCGGTCTGTAAAGCATAATTTTCAGTCATGATAATAATCGATACAATATTCTAAAAAATAAAAAAAAAACTTTCTTGTCAGTGTATTAAAAGTAGACTAGAATCGAATATTACTCTAAACACAGAAAAGTTACACCAGATGGCTATAAAGCGATATCTATCAAAACTATACCAGTTTTCTCACTGTTCAGAAAAAAAACATTTGTAAATACTTTCTCAAAGGTAAAAGTAGATCAGCATTTTACATAAGACCTTCAGAATAAGGGTGCTCGTGTGGGTGACAGTTCGAGTAACACAATGAATGCTGTTTCATCTCTGCTCCAACATCGTCCTCACGAACTTCAACCCCCTTAAAGAAAAACGAATTTCATCAAACAATCAATACTGTATATATTAATAACGCTGCTTCTATTCCATTTACATATAAAATAGACTAAAGTGCTAGAAAAAAGGAGATCAGAAGAACAAAAACTGAAATATATTCTTAAGCAAGACGAAAGACGGATTGCGATTGATTTTATACCTAATGCGCTGCTTCATGTCAAGAATGTCCTTTAGGAAATCTCTTTTTGTTTTTCGTCCTTACATATATATTTATGTGGAAGAACGAAAAACAAAAGGATATATCGTCCGAGGACATTTTCTAAAAGGCATTCTTGACGGATACCAATGCGTTTCTGTATATATATATAAAATGAACAACAATGGAATTGACTCAAGAAATGAAACAAAACAATGATCTACTTTCAAAAAAACGACTTCTTTTATACGCTTAATTTTGCAACCCTTTCTACTCTATGTATATATAAAATGAACGTCATTCAGGTAGCCTCGAGAGACAATACAATCAACAAAAAAAGTAAAAGAAATGTACTCTTAAAAAAAAACAAAAGAAATAGGATGTACTCTTAAAACAAATGAATAATATTTTGTAATTCATTTGTGACTTTTACTGTTCTGTTTATCTATAAAATGGATAACAGTGTCAGAAAAGAAAGAGATAAGAAGAAAAGATAATTGAACTATAGTCTTGAGCTAAACCGAATAACATCGAACAATACGTACTATAAGTGATAGTAACGCTCCTTGTATTGTATTTATATGTAACAGAGAGTAGAGTAATGGATTAAAGAAATGGGAAAAAAGAGAAGGATGTGAATAAGTGTTGATGATGAACAAAATTATGGAATATCCACCTTCATACCGACAGTTGAGCGTTGGGATGTGGTGGACACCCTCATTGCGCAGAAGTCCAGAAAGTTGAATAAAAATATACTTATATGGTAGTTCAAGTTTGTGTTCAACCAGGACTGTGGAGTGGGCGCGGGCATAGGAATGTGCATGATACATCCACAATCTCGAAGTTGACCAATTCAGTTAAGTAAAACTGATATCACTGTTACGTGGAGCGACGTAGAAATCGTTCAACCTTGTTTGACTTTTCTATATTTAGATATTAAAAAAGCGATGGGAAGAAATGTGTGTCTGTCACGCCTGGACAGGCCATTCATAAGATTTTAGGATCTAGAATTCATTTCTTCTCTTTGATCTTCATCGACATATTTAATAACTGTCTGTGAGAGTATTCTTTGGTTAGAATGCAAGGAGAATTTTTCTCAAGATGATTGCATTCTCAAAGTAAACCTCCGACAAATATTTAAATCACAATGACTTGAAATTCTTTTCATTGAAGAACTTTACTAACTATTTGAAATAGTTTTTTCTACATTGATTCAAAAATTAGCAATCGGATCAAAACTGTTCGATACTTGTATCAATATATCTTCTTATCGTAATATTTATTTTATTACAAAATACTTTTTCAAATATAAAAAGCAAACATATAAAATCGATGAAAATATGAAAAGTTTTTAAGAAGTTAAATCTTTATAACATTGATCACAAACACGTTTTGGTTTTTTTGATGTTGCTGCAACAACAGCTGTTTTTGATGAACAAGGATCACAAAAGATATTTCCACAATTTCGACAATGGTGTTTACGTTGTGTAACAGAAAATGTTTGATGACATTTCATACATGAATTAATATCATCATCATCTATCCATCGACGTTGACTTACTTTATTTAATTGAATCTATTTAGAAGAAAACATTTTTTCGAATAAAAAACAAAGAATCTTGACATTTTACTTGTTGACTTTGAAATTCTCGAGCCATTTCTTGTAAAGCTGCTTCTGAATTCGAATTTTTCTTTATTAATTGAGCATTTTCAGCTATAAGTTTTTCATTTTTACTTTCGTTTGCTAATGATCTTTCTAATAAAACACGTCGTTCTTCTTGACTTACAGCTAAACGTGCATCCGTATCTAAAATAGAGAGTATAACACATGAGCAAGAATTTGTACTATGTACAAACCAGCTTTTTCTGCTTTAATATGTTCGAGTTCTGCTAATTTTACATTCGCAGCTCTGAATTCGGTTCGTACAGTTGCTAAGTTTTCTTTTAATGCAGATAGTTGCATTTCATTTTTTTTAATTTGAAATTCCAGATCGTGTTTTAATGATGTCTAGGAAAGTGAAATAGAATAGTTTTAAAATAAATTTTATTTAATATACAATTTGTTTTTCATATTTTTCTCGTTGAGTATCAACTGTTTGTGTCGCTTCCGATAATGATTCTGAAACCTAAATGTAGAAAATATAATATAAATATGGACTATTTCTTCTCAAATACTTTAATACCTGCAATAAATTATTATTAAGTTCACCAAGTTGTATTTCAAATTTTTGTTTTTGTTCATGATGTTCATCAATTAATTTATCATGTGCATGTTTTATTTTATTCAATTGTTTTTCAGATTGTTGTTGTTGTTCGTTTAATTTTATATTATCTTTTTCAATTTGTTCATTGAATTTAGTCTATTTCGAAATAAAAATATTACAAAATAGATCCAATAATCAAAAATCGTCGAGGAATATCACCTTACTATCAGTAAATAACGTATGATAAATAGTTAAATAAGAAGTAAATTCTTCACGAATTTGTTCCAATGTTTGTGCACGAATTGATTGCGACTCTTGTTTAGTCTAAAGGAATTACATGAATTCTATTTAATATTTGAAATTCGTTTACAATTACCTGTTCAATCATAGTTAATATATTCATTTGATTTTTATGAATATTTTGTTCGATATATGCATGAGTTTTATGTGCAATATCAAGACTACGATGAATACCAATTGATAATCGTTTAATTGAATTATTCTAGGAATAGAAATATTAGTTTATTAGTAGATATCATTTTTTTGTTGCTGAATACTTTGTGATCTAATTTATTATATAATTCTTCAATTATTTGTTGTTTAATTTGTACTTGTTGTTCAATATCGTATTTTTCTTTTTCAATAGTATTTAATTGCACTTTAATTACATTCTGTAATTGTTCTTGTTGATTGATTGTTTGTTTTAAATCATTTCTTTCTTTTTCAAATCGTTTTACTTGATTTGTTGAATCAGTTTTTAAACTGTCTATTTCTTGGTTCTGAAATTCGAAACATATAAAATGTAGATATAACAATTAATTAATATATTACCTGATTATTATTAAGTGCCTTTGCTATTCGAAGACTATTTTCTGTACTAATATGCTGTTCACGTAAGGTGGATATTTGATGTTTTAATTCATTTATCTTTTGTTCCTAAACATTAAGAAAAGTTATATATAGAGTCAAGGGTAGGTGTAGATATTATTTTTATCATACTTTATCTTTATTGTTCTCATCGAGTTGTTTCTTGAGTAAATCCATTTCATTATTAACTCGTATTTGTTCATTCTGTAATTGATTCTATTCAATAAAATAAAAAATAATAGATCTTTAAAATATTTTTCTATTACTTTCTCATTCGTTATTTGTAAAATTTGTTTAGACATCTGATCACATTCATCTTGAATTTGTTGTCGTTGATTATTTAGTTCTTTAATTTGTATTCGACATTCTTTTATTTGTTGTTCATATTGATCCTTAATAAAATTGAATTAAAGTTTAAAAAAAACATTTTTCTTTTCTTCACTTTTTCTTGTATAATCTGTCGAATAAAAGTTTGTCTATCATTATCTTGATCATCGCCAATTTTCGTTTGAATAACTTGATTTTTTTCTTCTTTTAAATCATTCGAAGTTTTTTCTAATAGATGAATTTCATTATTTAATGTTTCAATTTGATTTCGATAAGAATTTGTTTGTCTTTGTTCGATTTGTAAATCATTTTGTAATTGAATATTTGTCTGTTTAAGTTGTTTCATTTCAGTTTGATTCTTTAAATACAAACAAAGAATTAAGTTAGATAAATTTCATAACTGCAGAAAGCGATACCTCTAGAAGACGATTACGCATATATTTAACAGCATTTTTGATATTTTCTTGTCGTTTATGAGTTCCTCGAACAAATTGTTTTATTGCATTAATTTCATGTCCAATTTGTGAAGTATTTTCATTAATTAATTCATCATGAATTAATAAATTCTATATTAAATTATATTTATAATAATAAACGAGAAAATTGGTTTACTTGATTAAATTTCGTTTCTACTCGTTCTAATTTAAGTACAGATTGATAACTATGAAAATAATTATAAATTTATGTTTGAATTCAAAATATTTTACAAACTTTTCCATGAGAATATTTCGTAATTTATCAATTTGTTGTTCTTTTTCTAATGCCATTTCATTCATACATTGTTGAACAGTAATTAATTCTCGTTTAAGTACATCAACATCATCAGTAGTCGATCTAAGAATGAGTAAAAACAAAATGAACAAAAATATTCGAATATATCTAAGAAGCTAACATGCAAGTGAGTATATATCTACTAAGATACTACTTACAAACTAGATGAAATTAAAACGAAAAAAAAAATATGTATTTAATGAAGAAATGAATTGATAAAATAATTCTTTTTATACTAAATAAATTTACCTTGGAATGAGATCATTGCGTAAAGTAGTTATTTGTTGTTCTTTTTCTTTTAATTCATCCTACAAAATTAAAGATTTTGTATTAGAACAATG